ATCTCTTTTTCACAATCCTCAGCAAAATCATATGGTACAGGTTACACTCCATAATCGCATCGTTGACAGTGGCAAGAGATCAGGATCGCAAGGATTATGCGGTTTTTGTTCCAACAAAAGTGGTAACAAGTAGAAATTTCTCCCTGCGTGCATTTTTTCACTAATTTTTCGCGGGTAGTCTATCGCTGATTACTTATAGGGACATCCTTTTTTTGTAGTGAAGTACGTGCCATATCATAGTGAAGCCCTTATAAGCACCACATACTGTTTTATTCGGAGCTTTAGCTGAGCTCAGCGTTATGAATGCCAGCGCCACCCACCACGTGCCGGCGCCGTACCAACGTTGTGTCGGAACGGTGATAGAACAATGCGGGGTGGTTGCATAGGTTTCGGCACGACGCTGGCACGCGCTGTCACGGCGCTAACATGCTGGAACATAGGCAACTTTGCACGCTGCCTCATAGTTTTTTCCGGCAATTTTGGAAATCTCGTTTTTTTTCATTGTTGCAAGTAGTTGTGAAGGTCCAGTGTTCACCTCTTCGCTCCTGCTTTTTTGCTCAATGCTCAATCAACTCTTGTGACCTTCGAAAGATACAATTGTATGTACTTCGCTTTTTAGCCTCGGAAAACAAATTTCTATATCTGGGCCTCCGTATAAGGCTGACTTATTTGTTTGCCATCCATTACCGCCCTGAACTGTACGGTTATTTGTGCTCACAACATTGTGAACATTCGTACTGTCGTACTGAGCGTCAACACCACACCGAACCCCTTCAAACGCCCAAAACTAAAGTGCACTCAACGAATAAAAGGCTCGCCATTGAGGGAAAATAATCCGCTTGGACAGTTTTCAACTGGTTCTCATTTTTTACTGCGTCCACACTTTTGTAACTACTCTGCCCTTTGTTACGTTGTGTATCGGGAGCTGCTCATTTTCTCTGACCATATGTAGCATCCGTAATTCTTGCAAAATTATGTAAAATATGCTGAGTGATTGATGCCACCTTCTCATCTAACAACTTTTTACCTTCTTATAGCGATCATTGTCAGTTTTTCTCTTCTCAACGTTCTGTCCAACATCTTTGCTGTCTTGTTTGATGTGAGTCAAGGACTGCAACCTCTACTGCATCATTAGTTTTGACACAAAGTCGCGCGTTGCGACCTTGCTTTAGAGAACTTATTAGATTTCTCTAAGTGCATTTCCATTTCGTGACATGGCATTAGTACATCCTCCAATCCACCGCTGCCATTATTTTCTCTAGTACGCTGCAGATTCGGAACGTACTCTCTCCCACGTGAAATCTAACTGAAGTTTTCTTGGTTAGCCATCTTCCTAGCGTGTTCTGTAGTGCTTTCTCCGATAGTTATCCAAGTAAAATATCTTACGATTATAAATTTGCTCATATCAGAGAAATACCGTTATTTTGTTTTTTTTTCATTATCTCCTGATAGTAGTAGTTAGTATACGTAGTTGGAACCGAATATTCATATTCGAGTAATTTAACCGAAATATTCGACTATTCGGATATTCGAATGGTTGAATATTCGAGAATATCCAACTATTATTTATTTGTTTATTTATTCGATTATTCGAATAGTCGAATATGTGATAAAGGTGTTTATTCGAATAATTCGTTCATCCGACAGTTCGGAAAATTGACTCGAATATTCGAATATTCGAGGACTTGCAAAAGACTGTTATCAAAATATTCAAAAAGTTTTGGAAAATAGTTGGTCGAATATTCGAATAATGCATCCGAATATTCGAATACTGCATTCGAATAGAATGTATTGTATTCGAAAATAGTCGATCATTCGATCAAGTTCGGTTATTCTAGTTTTCGAAGGTTCGAATTTTGGAATTTCGCATATGCCCATACTCGAATATTCGAATTTGAATAATATGAAAATCGGAAATCGGATAATTATCGTTCATTTGAAAATTTTAACCAATTATTCTGTATTCTTCGTTCGAAGAATTCTCAAAAACCAAGTGTTCGATATTCGTTCATTCGACGAAGAATTCCGTTCGTTACAACTAAGTAGGTAGGCAAATTTTTTGTCCTGTGCTCATGTAGATTTGTCAGTGGTGCTGTCCATAAATTGTTCCATTGAGATCTTCACTACATATTGAGGAGCTTCATTTTTAACCTTTTCTTACCATACCTTCTCGAAATAGTTTACTCCCAGATTTTAGTGATTCTGTTCTCTTATTGCGATCGGGTCTTGATAGTTGTCATCGAAAGCGTTTTCATGCATGATATCTCTGGTCTATTCATCCTTTATCGACGAGTCACATTCCCCTGCATAATATAGGATCGGGATTCGGCGCAATCTTCTCTTCAGCGATTCTGCTTCTGCTTGTTCTAAGCTATTCATTGCGGGTACAAGATTCTAGGTTCCATTGTCATGGAGCAAATACTAAAGCCACCAAGAGTGTGACTTTCTATCAAAGTAAAAAACTGTTTTTTATTCGTTTATTAGGCAAACAATGAGTAGCACAAGGAAACATACTTATGAACATTTGATTTTTTATACTTCTCTGCTTTGCTATATCATCATAAATCCCGCAGATATTGCAGAGTTCTGAGGTGCATGCTAACTAGAGTTGTGATTGCGGTAAACTTGCTTCTCATTGTCAGAAGCAGTAAAAACAGAAAGAGTCACGGAATATTTTGCACTGGTGCTGGTTATGACCAGGGTCAAGCAAGGAATGTGGCACACGATCGCTGGTTACGACCCCCCCCCCTAATTGCTGTCTTAATAAGACCCCCCTGAACTACACACTTAAGGTAGCATTACTTGAAGGCCCTGTCAAACATAATGGGCAACATATCCATGATTAGCATGTCAAATAACCCCTGTAGACAAAGTGTGAGTGAATTCTGAAGATTCAAGATACTAGGCTACCTAAGTGAAATGGTCAAATTCTGATTATGGATAGGATACGAATATCATGTTATCACTATTATTAGATTACCCAACTACGACCCCCTTCCCTTTTGACTCCTCAACACGACCCCCCAGGTGTGGCGTGCCGCACCCCCGCTTGACCCTGGTTATGACAGGAATTTGTGGTCAAACTCAGCTAGCTTTTGAGTTCTTCTTGAAAGGCCTTAATTTCATGTGTGTGCTCCAGCGCTTGATATCAGCTTGGAACGAAAGTCCTTTCTCATCAAATGAAACAGAAGGTAACTTCCATTTTTCTCAGCAGATATGCTTGCCTTTAGCTCTGTTCGAAAGAGCAACTCATGTTTTTTCTAAGCATTTTAGCAGATATCCAGTGATCACATATGGATAGAAAGGGGACTAGAAAATCGTTCGTTTATTTATTTGTTGTAATTTCAAGGAATCTGAAACATGCAATAATCGGAACAGTTTGTATTGGAGATTTCATCACCTGCTCCTTCTGATCTGATTGAACAACATTCATGTCATTGCCATTCTCCATGGAATGTTATGGTCTTTGTTCCAAAAGAATTATAGTTTTGTACTGTTTGCTCAAATACCATAACTTTTCAAAGTGACATACAATCAGCACGAAGGTTTTGGTTGGAAAGGGCATGTATAAAAACCTATCATACCGATTGTCCCGATCCTTTTGCAATGTTTTTCGAATAAAATCAAAAGCAAGCAAATCCATTGAGCAACATAAAGATACAAATTGTCTCAAAAATGCCCGACAGATTGTTCCAATATGAATAACCGAAGCCTTTAAGAGCTATAGATCAGCCAGTTGGCGTGAAAGGACTTTTTTATATGACTATTCATATCACATGCAAAAAATAATTGAACAAGAGTACTTATGGTCAAAGGTAAAATAATTATGGGAGTTATCTGGGAAGGGAAAACTTCGTCATGGGCAGCAGAGGTGCAATAAGTGAGAAGGGAAAAACTATGATCACTAAATGCCAGTCGTTAAAGGTTTTCTCTTCCCTCTTTCGTGAAAAGCACTGACTCAAATACATGCGAACATTCTGAAGTTAATAAGAAATTCTTTGTCAAACATCTTCGCTCTGTCTTCTCTTACTGCCGTCTTTGCATTTCCTCCATGTCCTGAAATCCATAAGCCGTATAGAAGCTATACGCGCTTTTCCATGGCGGTGGATCGATTTACATGATAGCGTCATTTCATCGAAAGCTTCGATTTGAAACTTGATAATGATATTGTCGCGGCGAACATATTGAAGTTTTGAACTAATCTATTTTGCTAGTACTAAAATCACCAAAATATCCTGCTACAATTGCAAATTGATATGGCATTAGAGGAGTTATGTGCAATTCTATTACAATCAGGGGGTAAGAAGAATAGTCACTGTGAAAATGTTTCGCAATAAAAAAGCTACTAAGAATGTAATATTGCCGTCCTTTATTCTCTTTCTAACTCAATTTTCTTCTCATACGTGCTCATGACTAGTGCTTTCCTCCGTGTTCTTCACATTCCGGCTGCCTTTCTTTCACCCTTTATGAGAATGTAAAACAGTGGAAGTCTTTTTGACTCATTCGGAAAAGAAAGTTTGTTAGGGGTATTTATCACTAAGTAAACCGGAAGGCCTTGCTCAACGAATTTTTTTGGTACTTAAAATATTGATCTCTTAAAATGCTAAGCTCAAATTATGCTTGAAGCACCTCTGACAAAGTCGAGGAAAATGTGCCCTCATGGCTTTTCGTCTATGAGAAAAGCTGCATGGGTGTGGCGCGAGCGCTCCGCCTATCTGAACAGTGATTGGCTTGTAGACTAACCCGCCAATTGGTGCTCAGTAATAATACTTTTGATACTTCACCTACTGGGCGACGACTGGTTGTTGCCAAGAATGACACCCATAGTCGAAATTCTGCCACAGCCTTACATGGACCCTTAGACCTCATCGTTTTTGATTTTTATTATACATTGATCAAAAAATGCACTCGTATATCTTGTTTCTGGAGCGATTGCTAGCTCTACCAAGCTGCTCATTGGTATTCATTGGCATCTCGTAATATACGTCGTGAATGTGTTCGTTTACGGAAGGGCTCGTTACGGCCGTGTCGACGCGAGCCCTGGCCGTGTCTTCCCCCGCAAGCTCGATCATCTCAGCTGTCTATTACAACGATTCTGCGCCCCACAATAAACTGTTGCCAATTGTATAGCGATCGATTAGTGAGCGACGGCTTCTACCTCTCGCTTTTCCGTCGAATTTCACCTCGCCTGCCGTTCGCAAAACCGTCCCCAAAACCTGTTGAAATCATCAGATGGTTTGCGCGGGAATGGAACATGTGAACGGGGAACTTGCTCACGGGTTTGAGAATCTTGTTTGCGTCAGGTAAGCTGTCCACACCCCTAACGCCTTGTCTTCATTAACTAAGCTGATTTTGCAGATGCAACGACGGATTCTCTCTCCAAGATCAAATAGTCAACTCTTCAGGACAAGTCTGGCATTCAGAATGCTTTGTGTCAGTTTTTTTGCCTTTCATACATTTCTTTCTCACTACCCAATGATGATTTCCATTTCAGATGTGCACAGTGCTTCGAACCCTTCCCAGATGGCATTTATTTTGAGTTCGAAGGCAGAAAATACTGTGAGCATGACTTCCACGTTCTGTATGCTCCATGTTGTGGAAAGTGCAGTGAGTTTCATTAATAGTACAGCACCCCGATTTACTCTCATTTGCATTCGCTTCTAGACGAATTCATCGTTGGTCGCGTGATCAAGGCCATGAATGCCAGCTGGCATCCGGATTGTTTCCGTTGTGAATTGTGCTCGAAAGCATTAGCTGATATTGGCTTTCTTAGAAATGCTGGCAGGTTCGTGGGACATTTCTTGAAAAGTTTGAAAGAAGATTGATGTCAAAGATTTCATGGGGAATGACAAAAGGAGAAAGAAAAAACAATAATATCCCATTTTTATGTTGACATCGGATCATATGGTTGTAACATGATTAATCAAATGAAAAGGCATTGTTTGAAAAAAATGAATTCTCTTAATCAACAAACTTTGGAGGTGACTGCATCTCAGTAATGAGCATTTACCTCGCAAAGGCAGTTTTTTCTTTCATTTCCGGGATTATTTTATGTAGGTAGATGTTCTTGGGAACGATTAAGGGATCGACAACAAAAATAAGCAACTTTGATCAGCCTGAGGTACCGGAACGAATGAACTAACAAGGGGAATGTTTTCTTTTGAAGTGACCTTTTTAGATACTCCCTACATCTCGTAGAGCATTGGAGGGAACATAAAGATCTATTTTATCTGATCTTGCGTCAATTTTTTTTTCGAAAACTAAAAATGTTGAGAGGCGCGCAGCAGATCCCGAACACAGAGTTGGAATTGGAGTTCAATGCTCTACAAAATGGTATAGACACTTTCCTTTGAGGGCAAGAATTACTGGCAGCGTTCACACTGCAGCATTTATGGCATTTCTATGTTGCACACGATTTTTATGGTGATTTCTTCGTAGGGAAAATCACCCACTTCTGCTATCTCTCGCATGTGTCAGGGTTGTACCTTTGCACACATGTGCAGTCTAACGTTGATATACCATAAAAACGTCAGCGCAGCATGTGCTTCCATATGGTGAACATCCTCATAAGAGCATGTCATTTCTGATGGGCATTAAGGCTCTAGAATGAGGGTTGCAACTGTGTCGTAACATTTTGCAGCAAACGATGCAGTCATTTGCACAATGCTGTTTATGCATCAGATAAAAATGCTGAGTGTTACCTATAAATGGAATGTGATTGATCGATTTGAGCAGCGTTTTATCGCTTCAATTTTCTCACATGTGTAGTGGTTGGCTGAAAATTCATTTTGATGATTTTGAGGGTGTGGAGCTGCAAATGAAACGACATTTGGTCTACCAGGAATGATAATATGACACAGATTCGCGATACAATTTCCGCTCAAAATTTCTAATCTGTTTAAAATGTTGTGGTGCAAAAAATGAGAATCGTACAGGGGTCGGCACCTGATATCATTGAAATTTCAAAAAAAAATTTTTTTCAAAAAAAAAACCTCCTTCGATCTGATACCATTGAAATTTCAAAAAAATTTTTTTTTCAAAAAAAAATCTCTTTCGATCTTGAAAATTTTGTGCGAAGTCCCCTTTGACCCTAAACCCTACACGTAAAAAAAGGCTCTAGAAATGAAACGTCGACTAAAAAACATCGCAATTTTTGTCTCTCGGCCACAAAAACGATATCCCCCTTGCTCTTTTCAAAAAGAATGTCGTCTTGATCCGGTGCCAGCTGCTGAGCCCTGGAATCGTATCACTCTTGATTCCAAAATACTGAAATGCAAAGATGCTATCTGTATTGTTTTGAAAGAGAGTTGTCGTTCGATGGGAAACCTAGTATTGCCTTTTCGGGGAAAGTCTAATTCATTTAGGTTTCACCTTCACATAGTTTTCTAACCAGAATATTGACGAAGATAAATCATCCAATCTTGAAACTTACAAAAATCGCCCTCCAGCTTCGATTCTCACTCTTTCTTCCACTAATCTATCTTGTTAAAGGGCCGATCAATCTCTGAAAAACCTTGCCATTGCAGAGCTCTATGTCGAGATTGCAACGAACGAGAGAAGGCGGCTGGTTCAGGTCGATATGTGTGCCATCGTTGTCATGCTATGATCGAAGAGGGTCAGCACATAAAATTCCGTGGGGACTCTTTCCACCCCTATCATTTCAAGTGCAAACGATGCAAGTAAGTGTGGCAGACAGTGAACAGAATAATCAGAAAAAAATTACTTTACTCAACGTCATATTTGCAGTGTCGAGCTGACAGTACAATCTCGGGAGGTGGGTGGCGAGCTATACTGTTTACGATGTCACGACACTATGGGTATCCCTATATGTGGTGCTTGTCATCGGCCCGTTGAGGAAAGAGTTGTGACAGCGCTAGGCAAACATTGGCACGTAGAGGTTGGTTTTTGTTGGGGCTTTTGAGACTCCCTTGCTCTCGGAACCTAATTCATGATTTGTCTGCAGCACTTCGTCTGTTATGTGTGTGAGAAGCCATTTCTCGGTCATCGACACTATGAGCGGAAGGGATTGGCCTATTGCGAGCAACACTACCACAAGGTAATTTCGTACTTGCTTCACTTCCATCCTTTAGCGACTGCAACTGAGACTTCAAGGCTTTTTGTAATCAAAATTAATTTATTTCCCTTCCAATTTGTAAATTTTCTACTCATGTTAGTGCCTTTGAAGCACAGCGAAATTTGACGTCAAAGCATAGATGAACATATGACAATGTGTCTACGGTTTTTCGATGACTTTTATGTAGCTATGAATTAGCGAAACCAACATGAGAATCTTGGTCCACCACTACGAGAGACTTTTCGAAGGAACCTTTCAGATTCTGCAATCATAGAGTTTTGAAATTTGTAACAGAGAAATGTGCGGCCTAAGGCGGCGGCCGCAATGAAGCGTGAAATTTTTCACAAAGCCGAAATTTTTAGGTTAATTCTAATTACTTCCAAAAAACCGCCACCTAGAACGTTTCGGCAGCTAGCTTGCCTTTTTAATTTTAAGTATGGTTCAGTGCTAAATGGCTCAATAAGAAAAACAATAACCTTTTACATCCAAGTTGCTCAAATTTGAGAGATTTTGACACTATCGCCTTTGAACAGTGTTTGAGGAGTCCTAGTAATGAAGACAATGATATAAGAACCTCAAACGATCTGATAATATTCTATCCTCCCTAACTTCCGCTTGACCTCTGGTAGGTGTAAAATTCGTCTTTGATTGCAAACAACCAGGCGTAAGTTCGACTCCATTGAGTTCCTTGTTGAACTGAGCGTTTGACCTCCCATCAAGCCGCACGCTTTTGCTATTTTTTGCAGGTTCTTGAGATCTGCGCCAAATTGTTGGGTTTGCTCTTGTTTGGTGTACGACCTATGATTTCTTTTTTGTTTTCAAGGTTTTTGATTTTGCACTTTTTGAACGTACTAAATTAAAATGAAAAAAATGGATTGTTAGTATGCCTACGTAACTATGAAAAGTGATTTGGTTTCTTTCACATGCGTAACTGACGGACGTAACCCCGTCGTATAGGTTATTTATAAAATCTTGACGACTTGAGGATTTGACTGCGGCTTTTGCGCCCATAGGAACATAAAACTCTCATACAAAAAGGCATCACCTCAAGGCTCAACACAGTCACTTCCGGTGTCGAGATGCTACCATACGTAAGCAGAAAATCCTTTGAGTAGAGATTAAAACTGAGAAAATGCGGTTCTTTGAAGTGTGTGCATGTAACGCGCGATCGTGTCATCGTCAGGATTTCCAATGTTTTATGCCAAAATTAACAAATATTTTTAGCTTTACGGCAATGTTTGCTACAAATGCGGTGAGCCTTGCGGTGGCGAGGTCTTCCAGGCACTCAACAAAAGTTGGTGCATTGACTGTTTTGCTTGTTCCTTCTGCGACAAAAAGATGGACCATAGGTAAAGGGTTAACATTACTTTTCTTGTTTTGTTTGAGTTTTTCATACTAAAGGCTGCATATGTATTTCAGGACGAAATTTTACGAATTTGATATGAAGCCCACATGTAAGAGATGCTACGACCGTTTCCCAACAGAGCTCAAAAAGAGGATATCAGATAGCTTGAAGGACCGAGACATTGAGATTCAACGTCGGAGATCACAAAGTCCAGGCGCTATACGGCAAACATGAAACGAAAGGAGGAATGAAATTTTATGGCAAGTAACTCTGAAACTTGAAGGTTACTTCATGAACCTCTTCTCGTTGACTATTAACCAGAGCATGAAGCTGTGAATCTATATCCAAACTGCTTCTCATATGTATATGCAATGTCACTATGAACTTGCTTTTTTTTCTGAGTTTCGAAGCTGGTGCTATTGTTATCGTATATTTGGGTTGTCAGAAAATTTGTATGCTGCTAAATTGAGCGCATATTCTCAGAATTTTGTTGCCTTGAGATTCTTATTTTGCACTTCTTGATTACTGCCACCAAAGCTGAATAGATTAGATTTGTCATCATGGATGTATTTTTTATGCAAACTCTGTGGATGAAACTACGAACAGCGAGTCCTTGGAAGAAGAGTTTGTGAAGGCACATAAACATAAAATCCAGACTTTGTTGTTACTCTTCCGTAATGATCCGTTCATGAATGTCTAGTTTTAGCTTCGCAAATTGGAAAATTCTGTCTTTTTGGAATGAGCCAAAAAAACCGCGTGATTTCCACTCAGGGCACGAAGACTTCTGGAAACGAAGTTTCCGCTACCTTTGCAAATAATACGACATACATATGAAGTGACCGTAGGAAAGATTGAAGGGAAAAGTTATGCGAATTAAAAGATCCACAGAAATGTAATTCTTGCTTCTTGGCTGCATGCTCGCTGAGAGCACAATTGCGCCATTTGGAATTTTTTGAGGCCGTGAAGGGGTGGGGGGGGGGGAAGAGGTGACGAGATTTGAAATAAGTAGATTCAAACATGTTAGCACGGTAAAAAAATCAAGCGAAAGGAAGGAAAACGTAACTTTTTCTGTGAGCTACCTTAGACGGCTCATGGTGGCAGTAGGCCATCTTCTGGGCGAGATTTTTTCAAGCCTTCAACACATCTTTTTTTGAATTCTTCTTACAATAATCCTATTCTCCATCTCTCACATACATAGCAAACGCAAGATTTGTTTCGCTTTGCTGTCGCTTTGTGAACTCTGATCAAAAGTTGGACTTGCTGTACCACCTCACTCGAGTCGTAAAGATTTTGTTCAATGCTTTACACGAATTTTAACGTTCTGCTCATTGCAGAAATGTCATCGCTGGTACTAAGTTAGTTCAGATGCGATTCTCAACAAAGTACTCTGCTTTAGAGGATGTTAAATGCCAAAGACAGAACCAAAAATCTTTAATTCATTGTTTTGTTTTTTGGTTGTAAATGTTATGTACCATCTTTGTTCTCCCTTCTTGAATGACAACCTGAAACACATGCAAAACTGTGTTATGACAGCAAGAAAAATCCAATCTTACTCAGAAGCTTGTTATCTTATTGACTGTAGCTAAATTTTCATACTGATTTTCGTCAGAAGAGGGTTTGAAAGGAGGCTTTTCCTGTGAAATCATCGTTTCTGCGGTCGGATCTTTGCTCTTTTGTCTAAAATCAAGAAGACTTTGAATCTGTCGGCTACAAATTAGACTTCTAAATTTGTGCCTTACACTTGCGCTGGCGGAGGAGCGGAAATCTTCATTTTCTTTGGTTCTTTGTACTGATCGTGAATAATCAAAGCTGTTCTAGAAGGTCGCACAAAGAAATATGTCATCGTCAAAAATACGAGAACCGCAGTCACGAGAGAAAGAATCTGAATGCACTGTTTCTTAGGTAATAGAAAAATATTTGATATTACTGTGCAAAAAGTCTGCTTCTATCAAAAGATGGACACCAAGTGACCGTGGCCTTTTGGAGACATTAGCGACATACGTTTTCCAGTACGCGGAACCCATCTGCAGTCTGTCCCAATCGGGATCAGGCCGAATCGTTGGCTAGATTTACACGCTCGCAGCGCTAGGGTTTGCGCTGCATACGCGCGCGGTCTGAGAAAGCGAAGAGATTGAGGAGAGCGCAGACAAGCCAGTTGTAGATGTGACGCAAAACCCGCGTGACGCAGGCTCCCGCCATGTCAATTTCGGCTTGATTGGGATTTGGACAGACTGTACGTATTCATTATGTGCTGTCCTCTTCTGTATAAGGAATTATGAGCGTTCTCTCCGAGTCTGTGTGGCTCATGCCAAGTGCAGGTTTGATTTAACAAGTCACCTGCAAAGCACTACTGCATGGACGTGCTTGGAGCGTGGAGCGGTTTTATGCTCAGAAAAATACTCTGCATACGTCAGCATAAGACACGCCCAAAGATTTGAACCCAAAAACATCAGATCCGTAGTGCCCATTATCCACTACGATGCACATTACCATTGGAAACGCTTGCGAGGCTCGCACTTAATGAGCCACTTATCAAACTCAAAGAAATTCCCATAACTCCTCACACAGAAATGCACAGCAAATATCGTACCAAGATGTGAGTTCAGCAAACCGAAGAACTATGCCGTACATCTCCTTACCACCCTCACTGGTATCCCTCTCGTAAGAAGCATTCGTGACATTCTACAAAATGTGACTGAATGGAACATCCGACTGCGTGAGAGGTGAGCAGAGAGGAAAACACAACACGAACTAGTCTTCTTCCAGAAAGCCAGACTATATATCTTTGTAAAGGGCCGGGCATACTTCACGCGATTTCAGTCGCGACGCGATTTGGCAATTTGCCATAACTCTTCGGATCCAACACTAGCAGACTGCACATGCATAGTGTGTATAACTTACATGGATTGATAGAACGCCCTATCTTCTGTGCATTTAACACACTGACGACTTGACCCACATGGTGGGTCATGGAATGACTGCCACGTGGGACAATGTGACCCACATGCTGGGTCAGGCTTAAATTTTGATGAAATTGTTACAATTATTGAGTACAATCGTTTCAAGAGGTCTTTTACGCCCTGACCTTAGAGGACACCCTGACGTTTCTTGGCTGCTTTTAAGAATTTGTATAGGTATGCTGTAGATCATGATCTGCATGATTTTAGCTCAAATTTTTCGACCTATTCGTGGAAGGCATTGTCTCACAAGGTAGACAACTAAAAATTCGCGTTGTCGTCAACGTGTTAAAATGTGCCCTTAGTGATTTATGGACAGTTGGAATATTGCCAAATCGCGTCGCGACTGAAATCGCGTGAAGTATGCCCGGCCTTTTAGAAGCATCTATCTGAATTGTCAGTTTTCATTGTTAGAGAGTAGCAGTTAATAAAGCTGATGGTCTTTAAACGTCGGGGGGGGGGGGGGCTTGGATAGAATGACCCGTTGAGATGTAGGATCTCGTACTAATCGGCAAAATGCACACTATGGTATTGACGCAGCGCGAGAAGAGCATTGATGTCTGTCGGCGTTTGAAGAACTGTCTTGTTAATGCAAAAGAGACTGTCTCTATGGCGAGTCGTCGTGTCGTTTTTTCCGATCTAAATGGGGTTCTGAGCAACCTGAGACAGGGGTAGAATTACCATGCTGTGCGTGAGATCGCCACCCCTAAGGCCCCAAGCAGAGTTCACGCGATTTGATCGTCATTCAACCGCTACAAGGCAAATGTTACAAGTTCATTGCATGCCGATCTTCTTGTATTTCGGTTGTGATAGTCACGATTAGGTTGGAAAACAGTCACAAGCGAAATGCAAGAAGATCGGCACGCAATGATATTGTTACAGTTGTCTTGTTGCGAGGAATCGCGGCGGTGAAATCGCGTGAACTCTGCCCGAGGCCTTAGATGAAGGCGTTGCAGTCTCATTCCTCCATTGGCTCGTAGAACAGATGAACCAGTCGTCTATAAGGAGCATACCCCTTCTCATACACACGCTTCCTTTTGTAAAGAGAGAAGCGACAGCGACGAGTGCCTCTCCGCTCTTCGGTCTATCCTATCGTCTTGCTGTTAAAAACTCTCAAATCCTATAGCACTTACTGCACAAGCCTTCACTTGCGCCAACTCCTCCGCTCTTGGGGTTGCGTGCCAGAACATAAGGAGAACAGATAACACGTTGAAAAAAAGTACGAATATCAAGGTTGTAACAATCTGAATGTTCCAGTGATATAATTCTTTGTGTTTCCTCATTAAACTCGAACTTACTACTGTGGATGGCAGCTTTTTGGCGAATCTTTCCATGTTGTTCATTATTATGCAACAGACTATACAAATTGAAGCGAAGATGTGTACAATCATCGGGATGACAATCTGAAAGAGAAGCTAGGTCCGCACATCAATTTTTTGCCATTCTTTATTCAATCAAATAATAAGATTTACCGTATACTTGGCATATGATACGTCGCTGGCCATTGTCGTTGAATCCGTGAGATTGGAATCATGACCAGGCACAAGCACAAGAATCGTGTAGTAGCTAACATTCCAGTAACACGCCTGGAACATATGCGATGAGATGACACTAGCCAAGTGGTCGCTTCCACCATTCATTCGAGTAGGGCGTACCAGAAGTATAAATAGCAGTTGCGAATGAATACCTTCGCATGACATCACCGTATATCAAAATGAAACTCTACTATGTGAACATGTTGATGTTCGGAGGACAAACTGCCTTTGCTTTGATAATCAACCTAAAGCAATTTACTAAGCCACAACCAAGGAAAGAGGTCGAAGTGAAAAGGACGGAAAACTACTTACAGGCCTTGTAAAACCTAATTGTCCGCGCCGTGCCTTGAACAACAGCATAGCCGAGCGCTTCCGCGAGCATTACAGGCGGTATCAGTCTCTCATGGATTCCCCTGTTGATATCCATGTACTTTTCAGCAATGCACAGTATATTTCAGCCAAGAAAATCACCTTTGAGTAGCCTATACCGTGTCGTTACCTCATGTCTTCGGCCGCTACGCGCGTTGGTGGTCATAGCGAGGCGGGGGCAATGGGTTTTTACAAAGCCTATACTCTGACAATGAGATCAATGCTTGCGGAAACTGCACTCTAACGGCATAATTTCGAAGTAAGGCTTAGTTTTTGGTGAGCTTCAGATCACGATTCTTTTTCTAATTTGTGAGAATTTCCGAGATGTTCATATTGAGCTTGGCTGCCAGATGAGTGCGATCAATCACCATCAAAGACTGGTGAAGATGTGTCATTAGCTGAATTTTAGTTTCCGTTACCCAAACCCAGTTTACATAAATTCCACATCTTTCATCAAGCCACGAAATTGGAGGGGGGGGGGCATGAACTTTGCAGACGCTATTTAAAGTAGAGATAGTGCTTGCAATACTTTCGCGTCAACGACCAGGGGCCCAAAATTTGTAATGTCGTCCATGGCCAAAGGTTGTCGGAATCACAGAATAGATTTTTTGTACGAAAATGCTGTCGCTACCGTGGAACCTATCACTTTCCTTGTAGTAAGCGAAGTAATACCAATTTTTCTTGACTTTAGTTGAATTGCGTAAAATATCAAAAGTATGTCTTTTGGCTTACATCTATTTTTTAGCAACTAACGATACCTTCGGCTGGCTTGGGTACGGTACCCAACAGTACGACGTTGTATTCTCATTTCACTCAAATCCTGCGAATTGCAAAATCGAAGGAATTTCTTGTACTTTATGGAGCCCTCGCGTAGATTTTACTATCACTTTTATCACTTTCAACGGCGAAAGATCCACATATTTCGGGAAACTCGATAAGGTCCAAGAAATATATAAAAAAGATCTCTTCCACAGATCTAGTCTAGAATGATATCGCTTCTCTGTATTATAGCTTTGATAGGTGCTGCTGGCGCTTGTATTAGGACAGTGCCAAGTGACGTAAGTATTTCTTACAATTAAGTCTAGCCACCATGCATAGACACAACATAAATTTACTATCACAGAGTTCCTATTTTGCACTGTTAGGTTGTCCGGAAATAATTGCAAGCTTTCGTAAGCGCGTTCTGAAAGTAGCCGTTCAGCTGACCGTATGTACTTTGTTTCCATCCTCGCATGGTATATGTAACCGTCCTTCATGCTCTCTTTAGATCTTTTGTTTTAGTTGTCAGCTCATTTGTTGAAATCCCAGGCACCTAAAGGGAAACTTTTGAATTAAAAGTATTTTTCACATCTTTATTCACTGCGTAGTTGGAGCCGAATATTCGTATCTAAATAATTTATTCGAAATATCTCTGACTATCCGAACATTCAAGAAGTGAGTTTATGCGATCGCTCAAATAGTCGAATAAGTGAGAATTCCTTAATTCGAATATTCGTTCATTCGAGCAATCAAAATATGGCTTATTCGAATATTCATCCTAGGAATTATGAAAACAGTCATTCGAGTATTCGAATATTCGAACAAGAGAGAAGTGAATATTCGAATCTTCAAGTGTTAAAATGTTTATTCGCAAGTTACATACGCGAGATTTTTTGTTTATTCGAATATTGCATTTGAATATGAGCATTCGAATATTCGAATATACAAGGATATATACAGGGTGACCGTGAAGTATGTATACACTGTTTGGTCGTTAATATTTCTTTTCCCAAGAAGTCTCTTGCCTACTTCTTAGCACCATTTTGTAAAGCTGGCTTCAGCTTAGATTTACAGTATGGAGCAAATCACGAATCATTCTTCGCTACTGTGATTACGGTAGGAACTCTCAGCTTATAGCGTCATTACGGATTTACCTTATTTCAAAAAGTTTCCAAAAAATCTAACAAGTGGTGTACTAGGGTTTTCAAGCTTGCTGATTTTATTATTCAACTTTTTACGAGTTTGCAGAGCTTTTGAAATGGTGTAATCTCGATTTTATGGAGTCTTTGAAACAGCTATTGCGGTCTACTTAGCACAACTTATGAAGGAAGCATTGCGGCAAAGTGCAAAAATCATATTTGATTTTAGCGGCTTCAGTTGCCTAGCATGAAAGTTCACTGGTTGTTTCGCTTGCTTTCTGATACGAAGCGTCTTCATGGCTCACATCCCTTCTTAAATTTTCTACCTTCCTACAGTAATGAAGAGCGACCGGTGATTCACTCTATACTGTAAATCTGAGTTGAAGCCAGCTCTACAAAATGGTGCTTAGAGGTAGGCAAGAGACTTCTTAGGAAAACAGATATTAATGATCAAACAATGTATACATTGTATGCTTGTAATGTGCTTGTAATGTATACTTTACGGACACCCTGTAGTTATTCGATTATTCGAAAATTCGCAAATCCGCCATTGTGCCTTATTTGCATATTCGAATTCGAATGTCATGAAAATCGGAAATCGAATAACATTCGTTCGCTCGAAATTTTTCGAAAGTCAGTTATTCGATTTTCGTTTCGAAAATTTTTAAAAAATATTTATTAGACTTCATTCATTCAATGAAAATTTTCGTTCGATACGAATATAATCAACTGTTCTGCTTTAAATTAAACCCATTATGCAAGAAAAGTATTCTCTTGATAATACAGCTAAAGCAAGGTACTTGATGGATATACGAAATACACATTTAGCTTTCCTTCAATTGCAAGAGCAGAGATGCTAAGGTTGAAACCCAATTGTCGAGGTCATTCTGATCTACAATTATTTTGAAAAAGCAATAGCAAGCAAGAATTCTCGATGCTTCAAGGGAAAACAGAGCTGTTAGTAATTTCGATGCAGAACTTACCCGCTCTTAATTACAAAAAAATAGAAGCTGCCGCATGAAAAAAGGTCAAAAAATAAACAAGTGGAATTTGCAACTTGTGCGCAGCTAACTGTGAGCTTTCCTGCCCTGTCACTACTGTTTCTTTGAGAGCTCATTTCTGAAAGAGGAAATTTTTCGTTTTCTAGTTTTCAGCATATTCTCCCGATGACACAAAGGGGTAAGCCTAAACAGGCTCAGTAATTGGGTGATCTTTGCATTCTAGAAAACCATTTTTTAACGCAATTAACGCTTCAATTGAAGTTGAAACTTGCTTTGATTTCTGGACAACTTAGTACTAGTTTCTGGTCAAGCTCTGATAAATTTCTTTTCAGGATAACCCAGGAAGAGGTGAGTGATCTCACATGAACAAGCTCAGAATTGTGCTTCCTAACCAGGCTATCTTCGCTACTCAAGCACAAGAAGTTCAATTAAACAACTGCGATTTTTTGCTGTTTCTGCGGTAAATCTGAATGGGTAGGAATATGTCGCCGATAGGTTTCACCCTGCGCAGACAACTGGTACAAATCTGTAATGTCTGCATTTGCAAACGTTCGCGTGGGCCGCTTCACTTCAGCGACACATAGTCCCCTACCCGATTAGAACAAACTTTTGGCGTAAAAGTGTCAACAGTTTTCCTGGATTAGCAGAGGTCGACGCTAAGACGCGGTGCATTTTTAAAAAGAAGCGGTGGTTACAAAATTAAGTTTGACATCAGACCTTGGAGAATGTCGTGGTCTTATTCCGATCAGTAATCATTATACATCATTCTTAAAGGCAGCGTTCAGGCAGATCATCTGGACCTATGGGGCTTTTACGTGGAAAGTACTTTTGGCTTAACTAAGGCACTGCCCAAGCGGCAGCTCAGGTAGTGCTGTAATGGCTGAGATATTCCCCTCGAAACTGGACCCCGCGACCACTACCTGAGCTGCCGCTTGGGCAGTGCCTTAGTTAGGGCCCCAAAAGTACTTTCCACGTAAAACATAGGTCAACATAGGTCCAGATCTGCCTGGACGCTGCCTTTAATGACGTAGTTGAAAAGATCTTTAATCTATGTAGTTTGTAACAACTGCTCCCCCGCTAGAGAACTGACTTGCCCTGATGGCAATATTTGTTCATTCTCGTTTCTGCAACTGTCAAGAACCGCTGATGGGTGCTCTAGGTAACATCGAAAAAATCTAGAATCTATCCAACTTTGACATTGGCATCCTAGGTATCAATGCACACAAGGTGGACTGATAACTCGGGTTGGCTCTGCACTTGAAACAGTATCGAGTGTAATTTGCGACCGGACGAATCAGCTTGTTTGGAAAACCAGGGGAGGAGAATTGCTGGGCAGGAATCTACGGGCAACCTGTGCAATCCGTAAGTTTAATAAAAAGGCTAGATATACTGAAAAAGTTGATTTTACCATACGTCATTCTACCTTCTCCTTTTCCAACCTAGCGCACACTGAAGGGAGGTAAGGTAGTGTTAATTGGGGCAATTCATAGCAGAGGAAGACCTAAAACTGACGCGTACTTTGATTCAGAACATGTTTCCAATTTCCTATTTCGGACCTATCCAGTATCCACGTAAAGTGAAGATAGGCAAGCGTTCCGAACCGTATTCTGATCTGAATTTCTCCGAATTTCCACTCATCGTTTCTTTTAATGTTCAGCTTTAGCTAGTTTTCGGACTTGGTTTTGCTATGCAATGGGGATTAGATAGGGAATGAAATAGAATAGGGACAGATAGGGATAGGGAACAATAATCTTGTTCATTTTCTGCTTTCACTGACGCTTGTACTTTGGAGTGTCTGCCCCAGTTCCAGGTGGAATGAAGTCCAGAAAACAAGCAGGATGTTTCAATTTCATTTTAAAGGCCATATTATCATCAAAAATTCTAATAGTGACTACATTTAACTAGTACCTCTTTCTATCGGAATTATCATCTTATTTCAGCATGCACGAACTGCGGCGAACTGACCTGCACTACCACCCCATGTCCGCAAAATTACGACTGCACTGTGTGCGACGAAGAGTATGTTTATTTGATGAGTCTCCAGGCAAATTACAGTACAGGACATCACTTCATATATTAATATTGTGTGACTGCGCAAGCATTGCTTGTCCTACTCCAGAAATTCAATGGCTTGAATGCTATGATTCAAAGGGATTGGCGGTTGAAAGGCCACCACTGGCACCCACAACGCAATCTGCGTTTCTCTCGAGCGTGCTCTTTAATCAATCTCTAGCCTTGACTAGGCCTCAAAGCCCCGCCTTCCAACCGCCAATCCCATTGAATCAAAGGGTGTAATTATGAAAAACCTGACACTGTTCCGTTGATTTCGAAAAACGCAAGGACTGAAATTATACAGAGTGTCCCAAAAAATGCACCTATTTGATTGTAAATAACTCTCTTGTGATGAAGTGTTTCGAGACTTTAGGTACCATTTTGTAGAGCGTTGATTAGATTTACAATGTGGAGCGAATCATCCATCGCTCTTCATACTGAGGATTATGGTGCCAACTTCGAGAAGGTTTTTAGGCCATTGGGGCTATATTTTACCTCGGATCAAACCAAACATCCAAAAGTCTCATACTACGGTAATGGGAGCCGCTCATTTCGAATTTGGAATTCCCATTTTTACTGTGTTGCTTCTTTCCTAAGTTATCCCTTGAATCGTAATAACTCAATTCATTTGTCAGAAGTATAATAACACTGTCAAAAAAACTGAAATCACTCGTAAAAAGTTGTTAGGTGGAAGCAGCAGGCGCGAAAACCCTAATACACGATTTTCAGATTTTTTGAGAAATTTTGTTAGGTGGTATATACAATGGTTTCATATGCTGGAAGTTCTTACTGTAATGCTACAGTAATGAAGAGCGATCTATGATTCCCTCCATGATGCGTATCTAATTAACCTCGCTCTACAAAATGGTACTTAAAGCTTCTCGAAACACTTCACCAAGAGAGTTATTTACAATCAAACAGAAGGTACATTTTTTTGGGACAAACTGTATATACAAAATCATTTCTGTAGTTTGTATTTCGTGATCAATTCCATCAAAAGGGAATACAACGCTGGAAAAGAAACCGGAGAAAGCGTTCTGACAATGAGTGACCCAGGTAGGACAGTTATATAATGTGCGCATCGCACACATGTTAAAGAGTGTGATTATTACCTCGGTTTTCCTAAATGGAGATTGATCAAAGGTTCCATGAATCATTGCCTAGGACATTGACATATGTGGTCCAGTCATGTCTAGGAAGTACATCGTCAAACTTTTGAACGATACTATTTCTTAGCGATCGAACCAACTTTTACGGGTACGCCACTAGACCTGAGGTCAGACTTGAATTTTTCGGCCATAAATAATGATGTGAGCTGCCGGCGGGCATGGCGACCATAGTCTCCTGGAGTATCTACATAAAAGTTTATGCGATCACGTTTGTTTGCACAAGGCCTTTCAACTATGGTTATTCCATAATAAATATATAATCTCAACAAATCATCTCCCTTCTTTCAGACCATTTGTCTACACCGAAAACCCCGGCGGATGTAGGGTAGCCTTATGCAGACGAGGTCAAATGTTCAACAATGGACAGCCAATTAGCCAAGGCGTTTGTGCTAATGGCGGCTACATCGATGTCTCCAGGGAGCAACTCTTTAGCACTGCATCTTGTGGACTGCGTAAGTCAGTTGAGAACTCCTTGGGTTCGCGAACCCATTGGGTAAGATCGGTATTCACAAGTGCCTCGCTGGATTCGCAAGCCCAGTATGTCAGCATTGCTGACTAAAAGGCCGGGCATACTTCAGGCGATTTCAGTCGCGACGCGATTTGGCACTATTCCAGCTGTCCATAACTCATTGTAAGCACATTTAAAATGCACGAAGATAGGGCATTCTATCATTCCACGTAAGTTATATACACTATGCATGTGCAGTTTGCTAGTGTTGAATCTGAAGACTTCTGGCGAAGTGCCAAATCACGTCGCGACTGAAATCGCTTGAAGTATTCCCGCCCTTCAAAGTTAATCCAATGCATGACCTTGCGGTGCAAGTGCACTCTGTGGATGTCGCGTATACTTGACTCAGTTTTGCTCTAATTAGCCATAAACAAATAAGCGACTAAGTTGGTAAAGTGTTTTGTGAACAACATTATGCTCGATTTCTGAGTTCGCGAACTTATTGGATTCGTTCGCGAATATCGGTTAAGTGGCTTTTTGTGGAGTTCCGAAATTTAGGGTGTAGGCTTAACCTACCACGCGCCGAAACCCATTAGTCCCGCGAATGCTTGTCTTGTGGGTTAAGCCTACCCGATAGCTTCCGAAACCTAGTGGGTTCGTTGATTACGGCCACTGGTGGGTTTGTAGAAAACTATAGTACCACTCATAATTATCACAATCACCGAACCTCAAGTTCACCGGAAACGTCGCATCACTGTATGTTCCGAGCGGATCAATTCTGAATCCAAGGGACGCTCGACACCGCTCGGTGAGGCGCATCTTTTGATACATAGAGAATCGGCACCTACGACGGGTAAGTGCACGGTTAGCGGTCAGGATCACAGATCTTCTAAATATTTTGCTTACGGTAATCAGTGTACTTATCCATTGCAAGCTGAGTGATTTACCGTAGGCATAAATCTATGAAATCTAACCGCCTACCTTGAGCGGCACTAATATATCAGATGCGCCTCGCCGAACGAGTCTGTGATGTCTTTAGATTCAGGACCTGTCTATCTAAACCAAGATAGGCGATAAGTGGATTTCGGTGGATTCTGGTGGAATTTGTTAATTTTTGTGACAATTTGTAAGCGATACTGTTTGCCAAAAAGGCCAAAATGGCAGACATCCACCCATCGTTCCAATTCCCAACACTCGAATACCTAATACTTTCTGATGGGGCAAAACACAGTGATATCCTAATGAGATAATTCAACTTCAAATCACCGTTGCTATTAAAATGAAAAGTCGGTATATTCTCCGAAGGTACAAAAATTTTGAGAGGAAGATTAATGTTCATGTGACAAATTGTTTTATGGTAAGAAAAAGTCACATGAGAATTTAGAAACGCTTGGTATGACTTCCGCAATTCTTGGGGAGCTTTCTGATTTCTTAAAGCACGTTTATGGTAGCGAAAATTGATAAACCACATGTAGAAGTCACTCCCCATCTTCAAATTTGAGAACAGGGGAGAAAGATGGAGATGTACTTTATGTGTTTGGGTGATTTGAAAAACCTATCACGCAGAAAGGGAAACTATAATGTTGCGTTCAAATGCCCCAAACTATGGAACGTTTTATCTCAAATGGGTTTCGTGTGCGCGGACATTTGCCACAAACTAGCGCCTCAAAATGTTAGCCCATTAAAATTGCTTAAGCTGGTCCATTGGCGATGAAACACTCCACATTACTCTTTTATCCGTTATAGGTTGCGATACTTGCCCAGCTCTCACAAGGGATGGTCTTACATGTCCAGGAGACTCTATCTGCAGCGCAGTATCTATACGTGAAGGTCAATTTTATGGGGAGGGATACCAACATTGTAAGTTTTGCTTTAGGACAATGTAGGGAAGCATACTGTCCTGCCGGAACAATGACTGCCAACGGAGTAGAGGTAACCTCTCTGACCTGCAATGGGCAGGGCGCCTGGGTTGACGCAGTGGGTACCGTATACACTGCTGCACAGTGCGAGGTTATGTGTAAGTTGAAGTAAGCTAGACCACATATACAAATGAGAGTTTCTTTGAAGCTTGTCAGAACTGCGCAACTTTGGGTAATGCAAACATCCCATGTCCTGTCGGGCTCATCTGTGAGGCTCCCCTCGAACGTGTAGGTGAGATATAGAAAAGCTTAGCTGTTTCGCTCAATCTGTTCTCTATTGATTTCAGGAAGGCAATTTTTAGCATCGGCATATTGTCAAATTTAAGACGAATTTTTTAAGACGACAAGGGAGAAAGATTTTCTGCTTGAAAATGGCTTCTTGAAAGACCATCTTGGCGAGTCTCTAGTAAAAATACCTTCATGGTATGCTAGTGACGAGTTGTGTAGACGCCATGCAAATTTCCATTTTGGTGATAGCGAAATGGAAGATGAAGGGGTAAAGGTTGTGAGAAAAATCGGCTAGAGATCATGCTTACCTTCACATCTGGAAAAACCTTTTCTTTAGCTTGACAGTCATTCCTTTCTTAGTTAGACAGTTCGAAAAATTATAACTACTCCAAGCTTTCAGATCTGTAGAAACCACAAAAACATGGCGCATTTCAAGAGCGAATTTTTGACTTTTGAAACGAAATGTTTATACCTTTGAATCCACCTTGGACCACTCAGGCTTTTCATAAGAGGCAAATACGAGAATGAATGAGGATAAAACATATCGGGACAGAATTAAAGAAGAAGCAAAAATGGGAAACTCTGGTGTTAAAATTGTATTATATCTATACTTATTAAGATGAGAATTCTTAGATTACCGTTGTTTATCGCTTTGATATTGCAATCCTGTACAAATGTGGCTGGACAGGAAAAATTCGATGGACTACTTTGCTTTAGAAGAATGCAAGGAAACTTACTGTATGATGGGTGAGCTCAGAGGAAATCCTGCTCGAGTACTTCTGACATCCTTGACATGCAATGGAATGAGCCAGTGGGTTGATGAACAAAATAATATCTATGATAGCGCACAATGTGAATATCGTAAGTTTCTCGATTGTTTTAATATGACCCTTCGGGTCCAAGATCTGATTATTTTTAGCTTGCGATCAGTGCACAGATTTGACCATTGGCGGAATGATGTGTCCTGTAGGATTCGTATGCACTGCCGTTGTCACTCAGCCAGGTTACGCTTTTTCTAGAAAATTTTTGAAGGATCGACGAATCTCAACCTGAGAATTCCTGCTTACCTGAGGTTCAATGCGCTGTGAAATCCACCTTGGAGAGTGCGAAAATGGCAAGAAAAATTTTTGGCAATTTTCCAAGGCCCTTCATTTTAACTTTGGGAAAGTGGAACAGTTCCACTTTCCGAGACAGAGTTGCGGCACCCCTACGGTTATCGTCCTTCCACCCCGTTGTAGCGGGCACGCAGCCTCAGACGCTCTCCCGCGTAGCGGTTTTGACCGCGGCGCAGGGTCGATGCGGCTGATCAGCTGTCCATCCGTCCTCCGCCACGGAAGTCGGTGAGTTTTGGATAATTTCAGTATCTTTTGGCTTGCAGGTTGCAACAAAAGGATGGAAGGTGAGTCGGGAAAGTCTTTAAGTTTATTTATAAGTAAAATCTTGATCACATTAACGAAAATTTGAAAAAAATGGCTGACATCGCGCTTAGATTGGATACTCAGCTTTTTCAGCAAACAACTCACTTATAAATAAACTTAACAGACTTTCTCGATTCACCTTCCATCCTTTTGTTGCAACCTGCAAGCAAAAAGATACAGAAATTATCCAAAACTCACCGATTCCTGTGGCAGCGGACGGATGGACAGCTGATCAGCCGTATCGACCCTGCACCGGGGTCAAAACCGCTTCGCGGGAGAGCGTCTGAGGCTGCGTGCCCGCTACAACGGAGTGAAAGGACGATACCATTGCTGCATGCGCCACTAACCAATGGGGAGAGTCGCGAACTCGTCCGAGCACACACAGAATTGGTTTGCGCGCATGGGGTTAAAGGCAGCATCTCGCCAAAACCGAACATCCCGAAATTTTGACATGGAAGGTTGCTTGCACTTCAAACATAAGAACACAGCAGGTCTGAGCGCGCAGCATGCTGCCTTTGGCTAGAAAACCCCGTTACGAGCCATTCTAATACGCGCGGACGAGTTTGCGATTCTCCTGACCCGTCAGAGAAGCATGCCGCAATGTTATAACTGCTAGGGTCCAACCATCCTGCCTCTTTAACCATGGTGGGACGTGGTCCACTCGTCCAAATTCAAAATGGGTGGCCTTGGGGAGTGATGGTTTTTGCATTTTTGCGCTCTTCAAGCTGGTTGTTCGGAATGAGCGCCTCGAATTACCCCAGGTAAGCAAAAAACTCTAAGTTGAGAATCTGCCGAGGCGCTGCCTTTAAGGCTCGGTAAATGGAGGGGGGGGGAGTCATGTGTGCGATCGGACTCGCTGTGTTTCCATATTTTGGGGCTAAGCAAAAAATGCCCTAGTTTTCCAAACTACTGCCTTCGAAAAATAGTTACGAAGTGTTCGTCATAATAATGAAACGTCAGCAAATCGCCCAGTAATCTTCTTCGGTATTATTCAACAAGTATTTTTGAAAATTCAAACAAACAATAGATGAAACATAATTATTTTGAGTTTTCAGGTCAATGCCCAGTTGCTGCCTGTCCCGAAGGAATAATGAGGGCATCTCCTGGCGAAGTGGTAGTGCCCTCTCTTACCTGCGATCGTAATGCGCAGTGGATCGACAACCAACAAAATGTCTACACTTCTGCCCAGTGCGAAGATTGTACGTCTTTTATTTGATGGGACGTCAAGCATAACACTTCAGTGAGGAAACATATACAAGGGTCCTCAACCACATTTTTCCAAAAGTCTATCAACATGCGTTTAGGTTTGGTGAATAATATTGTACTACTTGACCAATGTAAGAGGTCGTTGGATACCGCGGATGAGACGGATTCTGCTTTTGGCATCAGCATAAAACTCATTTGTTATCACTCTCTTCCATATAAAGGCTGCGCTTCCTCGCAAACACTCCGTCCCTTTCTTTATTGGGCCAACATCGGTACTTCCTCTTTTAACAGGGGAGCTTTTTAGTCGAAGTGGCCTTTCCAAATGAGGTGTTTACCAAATCTGCCTTTTTTATTTGCAGAACGTTCACGGACGAGGAATTATAAGCGTTTTCGGAGCCAAAAATTGAATGTGCGTTTTGGATAAAATAAGTAGACGATCTGGGTAAACGGTGTTGGTCTGGTTGCCAGTCTGTGAATGATCTGGGTAGACGGTGCCTTTGAGGACCCAAAATACTTTTTATGTGAGAGCCCCTGTGTACGATTTGACTGTTTAAACATGGCAAGATAAAACAGCGCCCAGCAATCAGGAAACTTCAATTCTTGACGTATTAACATACCTAATCATGGCACAAAAATCAAGCACTAACAGAAAATCATGATGGACTTGAACTGAGGGCTGAGGGTGCCGCGCACTAAGCAGCCGGCCTGTCGTTCAAATTGAAATTTGCCCACCATATTCTACTAAAATATGCGACTATAAACGAGATGTAAATACGTCAACATCAACGTGAACTTCCGCGGAATTTGTTCTGTTATTATTGGTCTACCGTTAGACAGATTTGTGAGTGCATCTCATTGCAAGCGCCGGTCATCGGCTTGCGGCTCCTGAACTGAATTTTTTTGTAGCATTAAAAGAATCCGAACTGCTTCCGAGTTTCATTTGTCCTGCTTGAATTCCTATCAGTCTCAAACAAATTATCGATGAAGGGTTGAATGCCATTATAAGAGCACCATTCCAGCTTGCACAGAATGCACGCCGCTATCCAATAATGGAATGGAGTGTCCACAAGGATTCTTGTGTGATGCAGCTCTTCGACGTGAAGGTAAGCACCTTAGAATATATAAGGTAAATTCAACAATTTGTGTCTACGGATACACTTGAAAATTTCCAAGAGACATCGAGGCCTCAGACTAGTTTCAAATCCCACCGGTTGAGTGAAAAGTACAAAGAACGAAAAGCATCTTTTCCGCATCATAATTTGTTGGCATAAAGTCTCTATAAACGTCCTGTAAGTAATACATCTTTTGATTTGAAGTAACAAATTTCTAAAATTCAAACTTCAGACGAGCATAGTCGCAAAAGTTAACATCTTTTCTGATTTAAAAATAAGTATAGTAAACGGCAACCATCTAGCACTTTGCTAAGTGTGTGCGAATGCACTAAAATTTGACCTGGATGAAATAAGGCCAGGCCGTCTGTGCTGTAAATGTATCAACACATACAGGACGGCTGAAATCAAGACGACAGATTGCCTTTTTGCGTTTTTGGTGTTTTTTCCAGCATTTCATACTCTGCATCACTTCAGGATGATTTCAAGGGGAGGCGGATGGGGAGGGAGGGTGAGGGGGGGGGGTCAAAATTATGGTCATTTTGATTATTCACGTCAGGCGGTTTATTAAGGTGATCCAAAAGTTATGGGTTACCTTGATTTTTTAACCCTTTTTGAGGTCCTTTCTATTATAATCACTATGACCGACCAGTAGTTGAATGCCTTTATATAAAGTGACCTTCGCAGGCAACGTCGCAGCACCTTGCAGCACCTCAACCACAAGCGGCGCTTCGAAGAATTCAGACAAACTCTTTTGAACGCCATCCGAATTTGTGCTGAACCCCAAAGTCCCTAAATATACGACGTATCACTCGAAAGAGCTTTTCAAGCGATGATTACTTGAATATACAGAAATTCTTATTTCATATAAAAGAGGCACTTTAATCAAAAAAGTGATGCTGGGCCAGATTTTCGGGCTAGTAGTCATGTTCCGGCCCACAATTTTTCAGAATGAGAAAAGTCCAGAAAAGAGTATATCGCGTATGGATAGAGTTTAAAAAGCTCAGTCAGATAACAATTGTCAAAGGCTGAGCTTATTTGATTGCATTGATGGAAAATAAATAATGTCTCCGTCTCCTTTTGTTTTTGTGTTAGTAAATCTTTTTGTGTTAGTCAATCATCTTGGTAATTTCACCACCATCGGTCTGCTCGACTGCATTTGCGCAATTAAACAAACTGACAAGGGAAGTTCACTTAGTCGAAGTGGCGATTCGGAAGGGTATCTATACCGATAAATAGAGCTTGAAAAGCTGATCTCAGATATACCTTCTATATCTGCGATGCGTTGTTCTGAAAAAAGTTATGAGCTTTTCTAAAGTTGAATTTTCGTGCATTCTGAGTTGCGAAATTATGATAATCGCTACACAAAAGTGTGCAAGCTCAAGCAAACCACCTAGCAAGCATTGTAGGTCTAATTCGAGTTCATCCGAACGTTTCCGAGTGTTTTCCGACCATGTTCTTTATTCATAGGTCGCCATTTCCTTCCTAGATCACATTTCCATTATATATACAAATAAAGCCCATAACCTCCATCTAGAAGAACGCGCCGCAGATATTGAATATATTTAAGAACATAGTTTTACGTTATATCCATTGGCAATTTCCAAAAAAGTTTCGACGCGACGCCTTTTTCAAGATGGAGGTTATGGGGCTTTTTTGTATAAATGATGGAAGTGTGATCTAGGAATGAAATGGAGACCTGTGGATGAACAATGGTCGAAACACACTTGAGAGCATTTGGATGAACTCGAATTATACCTACAATGCTTGCCAGGTGGTTTGCTTAAGCTTGCACACTTTTGTATAGCGGTTATCATAATTTTGCGACTCAAAATGCACGAAAATTTGGCTTTAGAAAAGCTCATAACTTTTTTTGGAAGGACGCATCGCAGATATAGAAGGTATATCTAAGATCAGCTTTTTGAGCTCTATCCACTGGTATAAACCTCCTTCCGAATCGCCACTTCGAATAAGTGAACTTCCCTTGTGAGTGCTGAAGCGAGAACGACAGTTAACATCATCATTTGGCAACCAATCAACACGTACTGACTTTGACTTTAGGTTGCCCTAAAAGCAGTGGCTCAGCAAAATCGACCCTTAAATTTTGGCGGTGTTTGGTAGTATATTTCCAAGTACACCGTAGCCCCATCTGCACTCCGATTCATGCGCTAAGTCCTGAAAACGCGCATCAAAAACTTACCTGTCCCCCTCGCTATTTAGTGAGGTCACTGGAGGGCTACTGAAGCGCTTTTCAGGACTCAGCGCTTGAATCGGCAGGTAGAGCTGAGTTACGGGGCACTTAGCGTGGTGCTAAATATTAGACTCACCAGACATGCTATTGCCTTTAGAAGATCTCATCTGTCGAAGAAACACAGCCTAACGTAGCATAGTCTATTACTGAGACATTCTAGATAGAATCATTTTTTCTCGGTCCCCATGACTTTCATTTTTACAGCACAATGCTCCGAAACTTACTGCGCCACTGGACAGCTCACTGGCAATGTTGCCAGAACGGAACTAGAAGTTTTAACCTGCAATGCCAACGCGCAATGGATCGATGCGCAATCTGCAGTGTATACTGTAGCGCAGTGTGAGACCCGTGAGTTACACAGTCTGTGTCAATCGCTTACCTCTTCTTCATCGCGCATGGCGACGCTCAAGCTTCGCGCCACATTCGCGCGACTGTCTTTTGAACATCCAAACTAACCTTATCAATTGGATTCCGCACGCTAGGCCATTGCACGATTGCCACGCAATATGGAGCGCGCGACTAACACAAACTTTATCTTAGGCTTCGGGCAGAGTTCACGCGATTTGATCGTCGCGATTCAATCGCGACAAGACAACTGTTACGAGTTCATTGCATGCCGACTAGCTTGCATTTCGGTTGTGGTACTTTTCCAGCCCGAAATTTTCGCATGTAAAATGAAAATGAATGGAAATCGCGGCGATTGAATAGCGACGATCAAATCGCGTGAACTCTGTCCGAGGCCTTACGTTCACAAAGTATATTCTCTTGCTTACTGATTTTATAATTTTTCTTCAGCATGTGACCAGTGTCCTGCTCTGACAAACACGGGAATGCCATGTCCTTCAGGTTTGATGTGCACTCCGGTGATGACAAGAAATACTGGTAATAAGTGCTTTTCTGCGTTATATTCTCATCTTGTCACTTTCAGGACAATGCCCTGAAAGTTACTGTGAGACTGGCACGATGACAGCTGGACCGGGGAGAACTACTGTAGCGACACTGTCTTGCAACGGTAACCAACAGTGGGTAGACTCTCAATCGACAGCCTATGCTACTGCTCAATGCGAAATATGTGAGCTGAGCGGTTAAGAAATCTTGAAAAGTAATCTCTGCTTATATAGCGTGTATATGTGCACCATTGCCAATCACGACTCCACCACCGATGATGACCGTCAGGGGGAACGCTCTAGTCATGCGTGGAGATGGGTGCTCATCATTAGGTACCGGTTGCAGGGGATCAGATCTGTTCAGGTAAGGTAAAAGTCTTCCAAAGATTGAGCCTATGGTTTCCAATTGGGTTTCATCAAAGAAAAACTGAGTCTTATATTGCTCGAAAATCTCTGCTCAGCTAGTCATACTCTGGAAGCTTTACCAGAATCGAGCAAGAGGCACTGTTTACTACATTCGGAGCGACCAAGGTTGAGCGTGGAGTCAGGCGTGCCCGACCTGGGGATTGTAAGACAGGGGGGGGGGGGAAATCAAAAACCGCATTGTTTCAAAAATTGAGGAAACACTACGATCGAGCAAGGTGAAGAAAGAAGCGCTAGACCGGTGATTATCACCTCCACCAAAGAAGGAATGGCTGTTGTGAACAGCATACTGATTAACTCCACTAACGAAGTCTCAGCCAAATTCAGTTCTTCATCTCTTACTCTACCCGTAAAGCCAAAGAAGCTTTCTGTGTAAATCGTTTAAGATCCGCAGTCAGCATACCTCTACGAGCTACAAACCACTCTACTTTATTTTCTAATGCTTCCTAACGTCTAAAAAGCATGATTTCGAAACATAACTAACTTATAAGGAATGCTACCTAACTTAGCTCAGCCTTTTGGCAAGGATATACATTCTGAATCAGCTTCAAATGCTGATTCCAAATATGCTAATCCGAGCTGCCGCGCATCATTCCGAAGCGAGTTATGGACTTTCCTGCGCAAAATTGGCGTACTCATTCACTCACTGACATCACGGCATCATCATATGAGTGCCAATACTCTTGCGTTGAGTTTCTTTTTAGCCAGGGAAAATTGGATTTGTATTATTTCGATGCCTCAGCACGTTCTTCTTGCAGATTTATATCTACCGGCAGTTTTCTCATGGTCAGTAGTATGCCAATTTTGCGCAGAAAAAAGTCCATAACTCGCTTCGGAATGGTCGCGGCAGCTAGCAATAGCATCGGAATCAGCGTTTGAAGCTGACTCAGAATATGTATGTCCCATGCCAAAAGGCCGAGCTAAGTTAGGTAGCGTCCCTTGTTAGTTTCAAAAGTGAAAGAAGTCAGCTTTTTTGTACACAAAACGGAGTAATTCTCTCCGTCAGTCTAGAAATTCTTCATATCGCTTTCAAACAGTGGATCAAGAAATGATGCTAAGGTTTTCAATTACCGCTTCTTCCACCTTGAGTGCTTACTCCACCTATCACTCCCGCAAAGCCGAATCAAGTAGAGGTAAACTCGAGCACCTACTGTAGAATTTTCGAGGTTTGTGCTAGCACATCACATAAAATTCTTGTAAAGAAGTTTCTTCGGAGATAAACTTAGTGGGGTCAGGCACACCTCAAAGGTCAGGCTGCCTGAGCTATAAGCTATAGCCTTGTGCCTGAAACCATTAACACTTTTTCAAAATCCAGAAATCTCTCCATTTTGGTTCGAATATAGTGCTCATTGCCTTTTCTTGCTATAGTGAAAATTTGGAAGTGTACTGAAGGAAGAAGGAGTCGTTGAGGGCTTTTAATGGGGGGGGGGGGGAGAAGAGATCATTTTTGAAAGAGTTGTGCCTGACCTCTTGCTCAACTCCGGGTAAGACCCTTCCCTGACCTACTACGGCATACCAATGGCGGTGGTTGCAGGATTTCCGTCCGGGGAGGGGGCAAAAGTTTTTTTCAAACGAAGTGCGTAGCGTTAACCGCGCACCTCGAAATAAGATGCAAGCCTCTGCAAATTATTGCTCTCTCCAGCACGCACATCCAGATCCCTGGTTCTCGTTTTCTTCGCTAGTCAGAATTTGCTAGTGGTCTGCTTCTCCATGTGAGGCTGTGCAACTTCCTCTTGCATTTTGCTCAAATATCAAGCTCCAGTCTCCTGACTGGCTTGACTGCAAGAAATTTGCAGACTCGTGACGGCCAACGGCGTAGTCACGCTGGAACCTCCGGCTGGGCGAACGAGCGATTTCACTTGTCTCGATGGTCAATGGACAACAGTTATCAACGGCGTCGAAACTACCGTGCTAGAGCAGGCTTGCTATGAATTTGGTAAATGTTATTTTGCTTCTACATTTCTACCACATCTATAACACAAAAATTTTGATGCAAACTTGAATTCAGACTGCAACATGTGTAATAATGTTCGTCCCGGACCTGGTGTCACACTTACGCTAATCTACGACGCAAATACTTGGTGCACTACATACACTTTAAGCGGATGTCCCAATGGTTACAGGTGTGACTAACCTATATTACAAGACAATGGTTATCGAAACATTAAATTGCAGAGTTGACGACACCGTCATCACCTCCACCTTAACATGCAATGACAATAGTAGATGGACAAGCGGAACTTTTACCGCTCCAAATGCTGGGATCCTCGACGTTGACTGCGTCTAATGAATGCGAATAGCCACGTTTTCAATAGATCAGTGGACTCCATGCTTTTGCAGCTCTACCCTTTGATGTGGGGATATATGTCGACGGTGGGCTCCATCCAGCGCGGACAGCTGCTACAAATCCGTAGTGGCTGTAGTTTACATTGCTGCTTGATCTACTGCAGATACCCGAGTGGGATCACCCCTTTCGGCAACATATAGTCCTCCACTCCTTTGTTGTTACTAACTGGCGCAAAATGTTATGAAACGCCCTTGTGCATAGGTTCGTTATATCTAGAAATCGGCCTTGTGACCGGGTACTCACGTTTATCGGTCTCCATTGTTATTCGCTAAGACTTTTAATGCAGCTTCATTTTGTTTTACTTTATTCAGTGCACAAAAAGTGCGCCTACGATAGTAAAAAGTCTACGCAATAGTCAGAGGAAATAAAAAGAAGTCAATACAGGAATATTAGGTTGTTCCGAAAGCTCGTGCAGTTTCTACCAGTCCACAAATCTTAGACAAGTACGTTTGCACACTTTGATCTTTCGCATTTCGAAGTGAGTCGTTTGACGAGCGCGATAGTCCATAACAATTTTGACTCCTCTCTATCATATCTGAATTTTGCTTATTTTCATAGATTTGTTTCACACTTCAGGAGGAGCTCCGATAGCCAATAGATAAAGCAAAGCTTTTGCAAAGTAATGCTATTTCCGCAATTTCTAGCTTGCCTTGCAGAAATTTCACTAGGTTTTTTTTGAACTCCTGAGTTTTCTAAAAGTGCGCACTTTATAATTTCGCTAACCACTTGGGAAACTTCAAAATTTAACACTACCATTACCTGATCATAACTATTTTCAATTGTATAGAGCAAATGAGCAGCTGTCGCACAAAAAGCAAGGATTTTGGGATTTTTGGTGCGGGCCGTGGGCACTTGTAAAACTGAGAAATACGGTAGGCTTTCATCAAATTGCATACTTTGCAATGTAAATGGTGGCGGCTAAACTGCTCTCCCATTAACGTTCAAGGTTTTTTAGGTAAACCGAACTTGAAATTTGTTTACTTTAGTAAGTAATCTGTGAAAGTTCTGTAACAGAGAGATATAAGCGTTAAAGGAGAAAATATTTGCTCTATTTACTGTTATTAACGCATTTCAATCTTGGCGGAAGAATTTTGAGAATTAGTCAAAATTGATCAATGCAAAAACAATGGGTTGGGATTACCGCGAATCACTGAGTGCATCGCAAAATCTTTTTGAATGCATAGCTGTTCGAAAAAGGGAGAAATTTCGTACTGATTGGTGTAAAATGTTGGCCTTTTGTCTCAAGCAACTTGCGGAGTGGTCCAGAAGCGATGAACTTTCCCGACCTAATTCACAATACTTTCAAAAATTCTAAAATAATAATAATAATCTCAATGACATTTTTTTTTCGAAACGGCGTCCTTTCGTTATTATGTTTATCTCTGTTTTCTCATTTGCTTAATATTGTTCAATCATGTTGCGTTGCTCAATATGCCTTTGCGTTTGCTCTTTACACTATGTAATTTGTTAAAAAGAAACACGTAATCCTTGGTACGAAGTGATTGAAAATGCCAAAGATGATATACGATTCTAATTCAGTTGAGGCAACCACAAAACTATTACCCTACCTCTATTCCTCGCTAGCAGATGCTTAGGCGTGTGAAAATGCATCTATACCAAAAAAACCCATGCTCCTTGTCTCTCCTCAATGTCAGCTATATATAACTGAATTATGCACTTGTTAAAGCATCGAATGTGTAGGCTGCTGCACGACTAAGGCGCAGTATCTTTGGGAGCGAACGCGGCTTTATTAGCCGCAGAGAGCATGAGGCGTAGGATTTGCAATGGTGAGGATACGCGCGCGTCGCGATCGCGCCCGCTCAGCTAATACTTCTTCTGCGCCTGCGTCAGCAGTAGCCTTTAGTTGTACTAAAATAGTAGATGGTCTTGCGCCTAGCTCTTTTGTACTTTTACCTTTATCGCACTTGGTGCCGTGTAGGCTATTAATAAACATTTTGGTCCTTTTTATATAAATCCTTATAGTTGTTGCTTTTCTTCCGAACTCAATTTCTTCAGCTTATGACGCATCTCGACAGTACCTACGCTTCAGCTGTTCCAGCTGGTACATTACATATTGTCAGAGAGACCGAAGACTCAAAATCAGAGCTAACATTCAATTAAAAATGGGAATTGAGCTCAATACGTATAAGAGTCACTGGAGTTGGGAAGTGATAAACACAAATTACAGCTCCAGCGACTATAGGTAGTATACATTTAGTTCGCAGAAAGACTGACTTTTAAACAAAGAAAAAGATTTGTCACAACAACCCGAAAATCAAGTGACGTACCAACATCAAATTTACACACTTCCATAAAAGTAGGATGAACCACATATACACACTTAGCAATTTCGGTAATAAGAGCATGACAACCGCATGTGGCTCTGCATGTGTTATATGCCAGCTAATGATCATAGCCAAGAGGCAGTGGCGTACCGAGGGGGGGGGGCGGGAGCGGCGCGCGCCCCCCCCCCCCCCTCGAGAACTGGTCGCGAAATTTTTGGAAGTTGCTTACATGGGTTATAAAAATTTGCAAGTGACTTGTTTTTACTTGTAAATAATTAAAATAATTTTTAAAATTTTTTAAAAATTCATTCTAGCCTTATAAAAAATTTTTTTTCGGGGGCGTGGCTGACGCCACGCCCCCTTTTTCCAGATTTTAGGGGTCGGGGACCCGGAAGAATTTTGAGAAGCACCCCAAAAATTTTTTCGGAGTGCGTGGCTAACGCCACTAGTTGCTGCAAGGACAATAAATGTGATCTATTGATACATGTAAAGAATGCAATAAACAATATTTTTGTATGACAGCACGCAACCTAAAGATACGGTAAAAGAACACACCTATCATTCTCAAAACATGATATAATAAGCTTCTTATATATATATATATATATACATACATCACTTTGAAACGTGCACCAAAAGATAACTCGTATAATAGATAATCTTGGAAGTATGAAAATAAAAGTATGATTTTCAAACATCAAAAGTTATGGGAACATATCCGATATCAGCAACCCTCTTTTACATAAAGACACATATCTTTACTATAACTTGAAGATTAAAAAAAAGATAGAATCCGTTGCAAATGCATACACAAGAATAATAACAAAGAAACGCTAGACATTTTCCTGCATAAAAGCAACAATACAAATACCACCATGAATTATCTTAATACATTCATTCATTGAAGAAAAACTTTTTAAAGTAAATAATTATAGCACGTTTGGATCATAATTTTACAGAAAAATAGAACAAAATATGAAGATGACCACATTGAATTCTATGCAGGTTCATGTTTCACAGTAACAAGAAAGATAAACCAGTTTCAGATTTATAAATGTGAAAGATTACTATATCATAACATATGAGATCAGGTCAATTTAAATAGTATTATCAATAACCAGTGCGTCACCTCCGCTTCGCGGAGGTTCGCACTGGCTCTCCTATTCGTGAGCCTTAGGCCCGTAGTAAAGCTCGATCAGTTGAGGTGAACTCAACTTAACCCATCAGTTCACCGCACGTGAGGTGAACTGATGACCACCCACCCTACCATGCTATAAGATGGTCAAGTCAACTGATAGTTGACGATCTGTCCACCTGCTGCAGTCAACTCTTCCACATCAGTTCACGTTCAAGTCACCTCAACGTGAACGGATGTTAGAGTGATCCAAATAGTGTGTAGAAGAGGAGACGCAGACAAGAGGTGACTGCATCTAACATAAGTTGCTCCTGAGTAACTTACGATACACACAGCTTTGCCAAAAAATGCAGAAAAAATCGGCGCAAAACTGCACAACCGCGCCCGAAAAGGAGAGGATCGATGAACAGCTGATTTTGGCGAGGAAAAGAGAAAAAAAAACCTCTTTTTCTTTTTTTGTAGATTTTACTGACTTTTTTCTTTGACAAACTGCTCAAGGCAAGAATTTGTAGATTTATTTCGTTGGATATATGTTGCAGTTATTTCAATTTTCCATAAAATTTTCGTCAAAAAATGCGTTTTTGTGTCATCCATGTTTTTTCTAGGCGAAATCCTTGATAGCGGTCATCATCGATTTTCCGATAGTGGTCGCTATCAAAGACGCCCTGCAATATAGCAAAAACGTGGCGCTAGCTGGTGTCGAACCATGGCCACGCGCGCTCAATTTCAGTCCCTTACCTGCTCGACCAAACCAGCTCGAGTGGTTCCCTTTTCAAGAAGGCACTTGATTGTGATTCCTCGGAAGCGATCCGCATCCAGATCAATGGCTCGCCGGATGCTAGACTGAGGCGTGATGAGATCAACGCCGGTCCGCGTCGAGAAAGATGCCCTGATGGGGGGTTTACTACGGGCCTTATGCTCGCTCAATGATGATAAAACTCACCACGCGATGCTGAACATCACAAATGAATCGTAAACAACTGTTCATTTTTGAAGCATCTCCATGTAAGATCGGTAATCTTAAGAAGAAAAACTTTTTCGCAAAGGAACACCCGCGTATTTGAATGCATTACTGATTTAGTTTTGGATTGATAGTAGTCATAAGGATAATAGTCACTTTGAGGTACATTTCCGTGTGAATTTCCTTTCAAATTTCAAGGTAAAACTTTGCCAAATCGACTACCTAGACGATCACCACTTTTTGGCGCTGTGCAGAAAAGCAAACTTTTTGAGCACCTTTTGGGCTAGAATTCATGGGGCGCAGGTTTACTTGGCAGGCAAATCATGACTTCGCAAAAACTCGAATTAGCGACGTAGTTTCGCTTGCCAAAAGCAAGGTGGACCCGTTTAAGGCGCAAATGTTGGAGGACCCTCTTATCAAACCAGCTCGTCCTTGTGCGTGGTGGACCTACTGTGCGATATGTCGTGCAAAATTGTAGCACGATAGCTTGGCTGCAACTCACTCTATGAATTTCGTGACAGACAGATATACACACACACACGGACAGACAGACAGTCTTAGCGCTTTATTATGAATCATGGTTACTACATCAAAGGCATTTTGAAAACCACCAATGCCTGATACACCTTGCAGACTAGTGTACACGTATAAAGAGCAATATCACAAAGAATTTTCAACTACAATTCTATTCTTGCTAAACTAAATACAAATAAAATGAAACAAATTCTTACAGAGAATGCAATTGCAAGGAAACTATTAGATTGGTGCAAAATTAATGCGCGTTTTGCGAGTTCTCGTTTTGATATGCCATAACTTTCTAAAGAATCCACATCTCTATATATATAAAACTCAAAGTGTGTTTGTCTGTTAATAAGTATGTTTTTTATACAAATCTCTCTGAGTGGACAAAATGAGCTGAAAATTTGCATAATTATGTTTTCGACCCCGGCGCAGAACATAGGCTACTTTTCGCGGCAATTTACTGGACCCTTCTATTGACTTGTTGATTTGTTTACTTACATCTGGGAAAATGAGGCTTGACATGCTCTAACCATTCATTTTGCCATGATCATGTAGTCAGGCGATGGTAAAGCTCATTTTATTCTCATGGTCGGAAAGATGCGGGCAATTCGTTTCAAAGCCCTTTTGCATAGAAGAAGAAGCGTAAGTTTGAGTAACTTCTTCTTAGCTAAACTGGAGTCCCGAGTGAAACCGGGACCGCCGGCTAGTTTTTCAATACAATAAAGTCCATCAAAGGCAGCAAATCTTTCGCAGTATAGCGCACTCCACCTGTACTCACTTCACAAACGAACAGAAAAATTGATATTGATAAGTAAGAAAGGTTTTCTTCTGAAACCTCATTTTCAGCTGATCATAACTCCCTTCAGAAATTTGTTAGTATAAATGATAGCTAGCCTATCTCGTAGCCGCAAGCCAGTGGTACAGAAAAGATGAAAGATGAAATTCGTGACCTAGTTAAGACTAGAGAATTATCAAAGAGCACTTTCGCGGGAGAGATGCAGACTGCGTCGCGAGCGGTCGCTTCCAGCCGCCAATCTCGTTTAATCAAAGGGTACAGCTTGTTTGGAAAGGCGGAGTTAAGTTCCAGCCATTTTCTGGTTAGGCGTAAGACCTAATGAGCTTATCAAATGAGTTTATGTGAATGTGGTGAACCTCTAATAGCTCCAGTAGTAGCCAAAAGGTTGCCAAAAGAATATTTGACGGGAGGAGGCATCGCCAACTTGAGTTTTCAAAAATTTTCAAAATTGTTTCAGTTGTTCACAAGTGAATACAAAAGTCGCCTGCACGTTAGAATTCATGTGCGCAACTTTCAGAGACTTCCAGACTCATTTCGGGGGAAGCGGGAGGGAAGTTCCCGTTTAAAGACATTACACCTGTGCAATTTTCATATTTTTTCGGTGGGACTGAACAAGAAATTTCTGAAGCAGTAAAGCGTCGTTCACGAGCACTGACTGCTTTGTCTATGAGGAACATAATTTTCGAAATGGAGGTACAAAAGGCAGATGCTAAACGCGCGAGAAAGAAGCATACTGCAGTTTCATTCCCAACCGCGAACTTTTTTAAAGTAAACGGGAACATCCAGTTATGAAGCACAATGCAGCCGAAAGGTTATCTTGCGCATGTGTGAGAGTACACATACTGTTCTCATTACTACGCAGAATGTGTTCTATATCGGCCTGCAAGTAACTGCTTTCCAAGAGCATGCTCGCAAGAATGAAGCTCATGTTTACAGATTACATATACACCCTCAAAGAAACCCCAAAAACACCGTAGTCGGGTGGTTCAGTTTTCATCACCGCGTCTTTCCTGAAACCTCGATGAAACGCATTCGAAGGATTTTTTCGAGGTTCTCTTATTTGACCTTTTTCGTCAGCTAAATTTGGGATGGCAGTGATAACTTCTGAGCTCCTATGAAAAGAGCAGAAAATCTATGACCTCTTCTCCTTATGCGTAATCGTTCGTCAAATTTGTCCATCCTGTATCCCTTTGGACATTGCAATAAAAGCAATGAATTGAACAGGGCGTGGACAAATTGCTGTCATTCCGGAAACTTCTGACACCAATGTTCTGCGAAGTCTCCTATCAAAACAAACTACCACATATTTCCAGTCTTTGCCATGATACTACTTGTCTCGATCTAGCCGTGCAAACACTTGGAAAAGATCAAGCGAAATCAGTAAGAGGAACATCGATGAAAAGCTTCGACACCTACAGCAACGGGACACAAAACACGAACACTATTTAAATCTGGCCACTTATATGCGGTTTTGGCTAGTACCATTCCCATCTAGCTGTAGTGATAGTACATATAGAAAGAACAGGAAATTGGCCTATTCGCAAACTTTTTCAATTTACTTGTCTTGAAATCGCCAAACTATCGCCAAACTTGATTCACATAAACTTTGGACGTATGTGTATGTCAGGCTATTGGGATTTACAGTGGCTGAACTCTTTTAGGCATAAAAAGCCGGAAAAGTGTCGTAAGCTAAAACAATAAACACATAGATAGTGTGAGCATATTTGCAAGGTCAAGAATCCGAAATGCATCGCCCACAAGCGCGCATACTTTCAAGATGCAAAAATTTCTGAAGCTAGAATTTTGAGGTTTCAACTGGAAATATGAGGTGATATGCAGGTTCACAGGAGCTAAAGAACAAAGAGAGGAGAACGAACACGACAAGGTTAAGACCGGGAAAGAATTTGAAATTTGCTTGAATATTTTGTGGTAACAGGCAAGGTGTACGCAAGGGTTGTGCGTAAGAGACGGTTTCGGCATTTATGAAAATTTTTTGAGGCAGAAAGAGAAAATCAGGTGTCTGTAGAAGAAAAGTTTATGTGCAACAGATCTAACTTCAGAATCACGTGGTAATAGCAATGCCAATTCCTCATATCTGACTTATGTATAGGATCATGCTCATAAAAATGAGTAGCACAGACCCTTTCTTTGCGCAGATTTTACAAGTGGTAGAAACTAGGACTTTATGCTGGGACAACAGTGCCCAACTAAACTTTACTGCAGCTGTATTCAGACAAAAAAGTCAAATGCACTTTCACCCTTTTGCGGTTTTCACAGCTTAGACCATCGAAGCAACACTGTGGCGCTCAAAGTAAATAATCTCCTCTTTTAGGAAAGCAAATGCAGACGAGGAAGTTGGCATTCGATATCTTAAGCTGTATCAGATGTAGGTTTTTATTTCCTCAGGCAGAACAGTCGAGCAAGTTGAGGCAGTCATATTGGCGGCGGCATCCGATACCCTCAAGTAGGAAAGAAAGTTCAGGGTCCGCCAATACGAGACGAAAAGTATGTTGACCCAGTGTCATTTTTTCTGTTGAATAGCACCCTGAGTAATTTGTATTTTCTAGGCACAAAGATTCATAGCTGGCGGCAAAAGTGAGTTGTCATGTTTTTGTCTCTCCCCCCCCCACCCTTACCAAAGCAGAGGATCAAGAGCTCGGAGTGTTACATTGTTGAAAACCACAATTTGATGTTTTCTTATGCTGGAATTCGCCCCATTTTGCACACTTGTCTCATTTACACATATTTTTATCTATTTTAGAATGTAGCCGAACGAGACGGCTTGATGTATCAGTTCAACTCGAGTATTTTTTTACTGTGCGGCTCAGGCTGCTTTTTCCCTCCCTTGTTACGATGAATATGACTTAGGTGCGCGGCAGTGAGGAATTGAAGTTATACAAGTCTGCGTTTGTCAAGTACCATTGATTATAGCTTTCAGCTGCTTCGTGATGCATTGTGCTCTAAACTTGTATCGGTGGTTAGTAGGCTTTACAGTAGCCTGAGGCGAAATGGCGCCTCTTGATGTGTGTTATACAGAACACATTAGCTGTTGAAGTTTTATGAACAGTCGATTAGCACACGCTGCAATGGTAGAATGCTAACTATGATAGGCGTGGCAATGTAAGATAGCGAGCGTCTGATCAATGAATATTACAGGCGTGATTGCCATAAGCAGGCCATGCTTATGGCATGACCTTTACGGTACTTTGGCAGCAGATATCATACAACAAAGAAAGTGCCGATATGATCGGCACAAAACTCAATTTGGTGAACACAAGCCTTATTATTTAATTTACTTTACTGTTTTATTTTATTCTATACTCTTTTGGTATTCCTTACAATAAAAACACGATTACTTGTAAATTAATCGCATTAAGTTCATCATGTAGTTTGGGAGAAACCTTTTGACCGAGCTTTATGTGACTGTTCTGTGACTATGTCAAAAGTGAATTGGTGATCCAATGGAATGGAATTCTGACCTATGGATGGTGCTTATGTCAACTTGTTTTCCAGTTATTAATAACGTCTATACTTTTTCTTTAACATTCGCTACAATCCAATAAAGCTGAAAGTTGCTCCAACAAAAGGAGTTTTCGCTTTTCTTCAGACGCACCAAGGAAACTAGCAAGTAAAGGGCAGTTCTCAAAAGACAGAATAAGACATATACTTGGCCATGCTAAAGTTGACGCGAAATCTCATGAAGAACTAGAGAAGAAAGAGATTAAACACACTCGAACACCATCACAGACATCAGGATCTAACAAACCTTCTGAGGGACCCACCGCTCCTACATCAACGACATCAGACAAAGGCAATGCCGCCAAGACTCCGGTGCGTTCAGTTTAGGTTGCGGTAATCCTCTTTTTATTTGTCACCTCACTGAGTCGTCTTGCAGGAGGTTCTAAAAAAGAAAAAGTTGGGTGCTGCAACCCAGAGAAGGAGAAAATATGGAAACGTTTCAGAAGAAAGTGTAAGCTCGTTTTGCACATCCTTCGTGAAACAACAGTAATTTTAAACACAAATCTCCTGTACTGGAATATTGCTTTAAAAATAGTTTACATTGGCAACTTGACCCTAGTATGTGGTAAACGAAACTGAACAGTCAATGTGAATCAATGTGAATGAAGTTAAAACTACTCCTAACTGAGGGGGATGACATTTGATGCCGTATGATGGCGGTCCTAAGTAAGCAGTCGCTCAAGTTTCTAACAGTAAGAATTCTGAAGCGATAAGTCGCTTTAAAAGTAGAAGCGGCCACGCTGCTACTTCTAAAGCGCTGGTTCTGCCCATCAATGTGCCGTACTTAGGCATGTATCCAGTGGCCGTATTCATCAACGAACCCTGAGGGTTAAACTAACCCTGGGGGTTAGTTTAAACCTGGAAAGCGATTAACCCGTGTTCATGAAACACAGGGTAGGCTTAACCCTGAGGGTTAAATCTACCCTTGATTGTAAACTTTACCCCGAAAGCGATTAACCCGTATTCATCAACGAATCCTGAGGGTTAAACTAACTCTGGAGGGTGAAACTTACGTAATTCATCAGGGTTAATTTAACCCTAACTTAGAGCAAGGTTAACTCTACCCTGACACTTCATACAAACATTTACTCGCAACTAATAGTTTTGTGAAAAGCGATCAACGAGTATTGTAGTATTCAGTATTAGATTGTTATTATAGTAATTAGTTTCGACTTCGTTTTATGTCCAAATTCGAAGTACATGAAACACTGAGTTCCTGATTTCGCGAGAAAAAGAAATCTAGCTTTGGTGACAAATGAATGCGACGAGGAAAAATGGTTGCGCATTCCACTCTAATAAGTGCCAAAACAGAAGAACTACTTTATAATAACACGCATTGACCCCTAAAAGAGTAGCACAAGCCCGGTATAAAACGAACTGCGCAAAAGTAGAACTTACACGGCACAATGCACACATGGAAATAAACCCACGCTGTAAGAGTGGATGCTGCACAAATATGCTAGAGATGTATTTTAAAAACTAGTGCTAGAAACTTATTCGTTGATTATACTACTATAACAGTGAAAGAATAGAAGTATAAAGTGAATTGAGCACGTACTTAGGCATTCTGTGATGTGAGTTTGCACAGCGCATGCGTAACTGACGCCTTTACCCTCAGGGTTAGTTTAACCCTCAGGGTTCATTGGCCGTATTCATCAACCATAGGGTACGTTGATGATTACGGCCACAGGTTCGTTGATCGATACGGGTGGATTGCGTTCTGTGGCAAACCCTACACTATGGTTGATGAATACGGCCAATGAACTCTGAGGGTTAAACTAACCCTGGGAGTAAATTTAACCCTCAGGGTTCGTTGATGAATATGGCCACAGGATTGTCAAAGATCTCCCATTATAATGAATATCAAATCTGAGATATTTCTGCACCCTGAAGTCCAACTTTGAACTCCTAATCTTCAAACCACGCAGTTGATGAGACGAGCCGTTGTAGCCGCTTCTTGACTTTAAAGCGGTTTTCTCGCTGTGAAATTCATTTTTGTGCGCAGGATTTGGGCGATTGCTTACCAGGGAACCGTGTCGAGTCGAAGTGGCCTTTCCAGGTGAGACTCATACTGCTTTGAAGAGCATTAATCGATGATTCCAAATCTGCCTTCCAAATTTGCCAAGCGCCTCTGGACGCCGAGTTATGACCGTTCTTCGGAACGAAAAATGGATGCAAAACTTAGGTAAAATTGATTGTTACAATCTTTCCAGCGCTCAGATAAAGCAATGTTAAGTATTAGCATATTAAATAAAATATATTCATTGCATAATCCATTGCGTAAACAGCTCTGGTACTTGAGACTGGACCGTTTGAGCAAATTTGGGCGATTTTGCTTCAGTTTTGCGTTCGATTTTTTGACCTGAAAAACGAGCATAACTCGGCGTCCAGAGGCGCTTGGCAGATTTGAGAGGCAGACTTGGAATCACTGATTAATGCTCTTCAAAGCAGTATGGGTCTCATCTGGAAAGGCCACTTCGACTCGGCACCGTTCCCTTGTTAGTTAGGGACCCTGTTATGGACAGTCAAAATTACAGCAACTTTCATGCTGAGTGGAGGGTACCAATGACGCTGCTTTCCAGCTTTTTGCACGATCCTTTGATGATCCACGGCAATGGCCGTTTTTTCTTCAAAGTCATTTTTCTTTCTTTGAATTCAATGAAAACGTGCCAAAGTTTTACTGATTGTAGAACAAATGATGTGTTGAAATTTGTGTGAACCACAAATCGAAGGTCGGAGTTTATCAAAAACCAGTGCTTCAACTCTGCTTTGCATTGCCTCTACTGTCTACGCCCTACTCATTCTCGCATAATGATATCATTGAAACTCACCAAGCAATGCTGAGTATCACGAACAAAATGTAAACAACCTGCTCATTCCGAATACTTTTTTATGTGAAATCGGTCATTTCGCGTGGATGAAACTTTTTGCAGGAAACAAACGCAAATTTTTATAGGTTTTTGATTTTCCCATGTCTTGACAGTTGCCACAAGGAAAAGTCATTGTGAGCTACATTTTTGTGCAAAAATCTCGTCAAATGCTTTGGTAGAATCTTGGCAAATTGACCATTTACGCAACCAGTAATTTTTTTGGCGCCGTTTTTGTAAAGTCATGGACTTTTGATCACTTTTGGCCTAATTTCATGGCTTGCACCATTTACTTGCCATAAACATCCACCACTCTGCGAACATGGAATTACGGACCCCATTTTATGGGCCAAATGCAAAGTGGATCCGTTTGACGCGCATCTCTAAGTGACCCACTCAACGAATCTGCCTGTGCTTTGCATACTGGACTTCTATGCCAGTAGCAAGTGCTGTGCAAAATTTGAGCTCACGTTGGCTGGAACACGCTCTACGAATTTCGTGGCAGATAGACATTCAGACAGACACATACATAAAAACACGTAAACTCTCTTAGCGCGTTATCATAGTAGGATATTAATATGGCAGTGACTCATTTGTTCTTATCAGCAGTATGCTGAGTACTGTTGGTTTAGATAATCCTAGTTGGCTTTCCCGCTCCAGCCCGGGTCATTGGTCACCTACACTGCGCGCCCATCTCCCCCTTCTTGTATGTTATGGGATGACTTACCCTGGGACATCAGCTTCGAAACCGCATCCCCGTGATCCTGAGGTGAAAATGAGCTTCCCCCCCTTTACATGACTATGGGGAAATGCTTGATTAAACATGATAAGCCCTCAATTCCTTAGAAAAACGTAAACAAATCAATAAATCGATAGAAGGACCCAACGAATCGCTGCAAAAAGTAGCCTATCATCTGCGCAGGGGTCGAAAACATATGTTTTCAATATGTTTATAGTGAAGGATAGTAAGAATATAAGGATAAATAGCATGAAATTTAAAAATCCGGGGCTTTAAGATATGAGGCTTTCTTTTGAGCTGCAATCACTTCCCCGGCGGGAAGGTTAATGTATGCTGCCCTAAGAAAACGGTTGTGCAGTTGCCACATATGCTATTTTGCGCGAAACATGTTTAATTGACTTTACGAGTAGGGGTTATATTTAATATGCAACTTAAAGAAAGCCAAGCCTTATCGTAACTTATTTTATGTTCTGAAATACGACTATAAGCCACCTAGTAGAGGATTCAAAAAAATGAGAGGAGTTTTGCAACAAACTTATAAAAACATATACCATCGGAAGAGACCTCATTGATTTATCAGAAAAAAGTGAGGCTTCTAAAAAACTGTGAATGTATTCTGTTTTTTCTTTTCAAAAATCATCATTTAGGTGGAAGACTTCACCGAGTTTGAAAGAGTGGATGCTGCAGCAAGACCTGCTGTGTCAAGAAATATGGGTGATAGAAGACACCGGAGAAAACATCATCGCCGTCATCGAAGGCATCCGCTCGAAGAAGGCATGTCAATCGTTAATCACTTCTGTTTCCAATAAATCTTTTGCAGAGGGCACTCAGGAATCAGCAGTGCCCACTGAGGAGAAAGGTGTGCTTTGTTTTTTTTTACCAAACAATCTGAAATCTATTCTTTTGCAGTAGAAGATAATGTCAAGGATACGAAAGATCCCGACGACACTACTACAAAAGAAACTCAGTTTGCGGACATAAAGAAGGAATCAGGCAGCGATCATCCCAGCATCTCAGAAAGAAGAAAAGCGCCTACAGAGAGCAGACCTCTTACTGTTTCTCCAGTACAACTTAAAGAAGAATTGACTGAAGAAAGCGTGGAAAAAGCGGAAAGGATCGCTCACCCCGTCTCACCGAAAGGTGACTCGGACAGTCAAAAGAAAGGCACTGGAGCGCCTTCTATTTCAAAGGTAGCTGGAATTAGGGAGCCACAGCAAGAAAGCGTTGCGCAGACCGAGACGCAGCGAACGGAAGACACTGGACGAAGCGAAACAGAGCAAGGGAGTATATTCTTCTACGATGCTCCACATAATCAAATTCTGAAACTTCCACCAGAGCGTAAATTCCGAAAAAGCATACGTGCCGATGTAGTGGAGGGTGACGAGATGGGGAGCCATTATCTTTGGTACGCTTAGACAAGACTAGGTTTATATAGCGCAACATTATCTTTTTAGAAATCGACCATTGGTTATTGTCAAAACAAAATGAGAAAACTAGATAGACAAATGTGAATTTTCAATAAAAACACATTGATTTTGTCTTTTTTCAAATCCAGACAAATTTGTCGCCTGCGTTGAATATACGATCAAACGTGCTATTGTAGCAATGTACATTTTGCCTCTCCACCCTGAAGTTCTGGCAGCAAATGCACAAAATATTAGGGTGATTCAAAAGTAATAGGGCACCTTGATTTTTTTTACATTCTTCAAGACTTCTTTCTGATTAGCTATGAATGCCCAGCATTTTTAACGCCTTTGTATAAAGTGACCTTCGCAGGTTATATTGACAGCACCTTGCAGCACCTCACCGACACTTCTTCGAGTGGCGCTTCAAAGAAGTCAGGCA